TCCATTCTGTACTCATGAATGGAAGCGTCAACATTTGAGAACCAAAGAAACAAACCCACTAACACAAAGAACATGGCAATCTTAATCCTTCCCCTATGAAAGTCTATCTGCTTCATATTTACAGCAGTTTTCTTCAAGGCTCCTCTTCTTTTTACCAGCGCTGTTAGCTTTTGATCTTGTGTTTCTGAAATTGGTAAAGAAAGAGAGAGAAACAGCCAACAGCAAATTACGGTTCTAAATGCACTGCACTTTTGGTTTTCACACCTCTATTTTTTTTTAATTTTATAAATGAAATTATTTGGTTTTTTTAATAAATTTTTAAATATTTATATTCGATAAATTTTATAATTTTTTAAATTTTATTTTTAAAATATTATATAAAATAAATTAAAATTTTATTTTAAAAATATTATATAATTTTTTTAAATAATTTTTTAAAAGTTATAAAAAATTTTGAAGATTTATTTCTTTAAATTTTAAGAAAATTTATAAAAAATAATTTTTTAAAAATTTTTTGTGAATTAATATAATAAAAAAAATTTTATTAGAAAAAATTAAATTTTAAAATTAATAAAAAATTTAATTTTATTATTTTAATCTTAAAGAAAGAATAAAATCTTATGAGATTTTAATTAAATTAAAGATAAAATAATAAATATAATTTTTTATAAATTTAAAATTTATCATTTATTAATAAATATCTTTATCAATTATTAAAATTTTATAATAATTCTAATTAAATTAAACCTTTTTAAAAAGTTTCTCTATTTAATTATTACGATAAATTTTCTAAATTAATATATTAAATTTTAATAAAAATTATATAATATTAAATAATACTATTTGTATAATTTTAATGAATTTTAATTTTTATACATTAATAAGATCTATTAATTTTGTTATCACGCTTCATAACATCAAAAAATAAAAATTTAATTAAAATCGAATAAAATTTTATTTTTAAGATTAAAATAATAAAATCAATTTTTTATAATTTTAAAATTTATAATTTTTTTAATAATAACTTTTTTTATTATATTAATTCATAAAAATCTTTAATAAAATTGGATTTTTTGTAATTATTTTAAAATTTCATACTATTTATGAAAATAAATATTTAAAAGATTATAAGTTATATAATTTTTCGAAAATTATAAAATATATCATATGTGAATATTCGAAAACTTAATAAAAAGATATTTAAATAATTTTATTTTTAAAAAAATTCTAAAAAAAATGTAAAGAGCAAAAATCGTAATACACTTAGAAATTCTCGTTACACTGATGAGTCCAATCCAAAGCAAATTAACATCTTTGTCCTTTCTCGGTTAGGCTAGGGATCGCCTTCAAACGAAACTATGTCGTTTTGGGGCATTAGTACATTGAAAGCAGTACTTATCAACCCTCGTCATATCTCTCTCTTGAGACAGATGGTTTAATTAAAACAACAAAATGTTGATTCAAAATAATTATATAAAAAATAATAATTTGGTTGATCAACAAATTATTAAATTCAACATTAGATTAAGTCTAAAATACATGTAAAAACTCACAAAACTTAAAATTAAGATCCCAGAACCTTGAATCCATCAAAACTTTTAACAAAGTTCACCAATTATGGCAACTTGCATAATATTTTTAAGCTCTAATCAATATCATACCATCATCGATATTAATTAATTAATCATTGATGATCACATATGAGGATCATATCTTTGTCTACGATGAAAAAAAAAAAGTTATAAAATTGCTATAATATTAACTTTTATTTTCCAAAAGTGAACCCATTTATCACACGTTCTTTGGATGGATGATAGGGATTTAAGTGGTATTATACGTGTACCATATCATATAATATTATATATAGCAATTTTTTATTAGTTGCACTATTGCAGTCAGATTTTGGCACTTGACTTCCTTACGAAAGCTCTTTGCACAAAAGGGCCAAAACAAGTAAAATCCAAGCCGTCAATTCTGTATATGTAAAAGGGATTCACCGATTACCAGTAGTCACTCTATACCTCAATTAATTTAAAATTATGTTAGATTAAAGAATAAATTTTTAAATTTTTTTTTTCATTTATAAAATTTAAAATCAAAACTTTATTTTAAAAAATTAATTTTTTTACCATTCAAACCAATAAATATTTATTTGTATATATAAATGTATTAATATCTCTTTTCGCGTGCGTTAATATAAGTTATATATATTATTTTTGAATCAAAATGAATAAAATTAAAAAAAAATTATTTTGATTTAAATTGATAATAAATTTAATTTTGATTTAATAATAAAAACTATAAAATTTACATTAATGTAAGTAAAAACTTATATATATATATAAGTTTATTGTTAAACAATAATTTTAATTTTATTGGTAGAATAAAAAAAGAAACACCTTTAGGAACGTTAATATAATAAGTTGAATGATTAAACATATAATTTACCCTAATGTTATCCCTTTAACTTGGAGAGAAGTGTCACTTTGATCATTTAAGCACGTACAAAAAAAATGTTGTGACTTTGGATCCTTAAACTGCATTCACCAAAACCAAATATGTAAAATTAAGCATATTACACTGTAAACAAACCCACATGGGGTGGAATTCAACGGCATTTTTAGATTCATTCAGATATGTATGTGAAAGAAAGATCATCAGATCACATGGCTTTCAGTCATTCACACTATGAAAATTTTTTCCAAAGCATGCCGAGCTTTGATTTATGAAATCTTGTTGTCTTTTTTTCTTTCACTTTGAATGCCTTGTGTCCATGAAACTGCTTTTGTCACTTCCTTCCACCATCTGATTCTGATGTGTATCTCTTTGGATCTTTCTTGTGTAAAAATTTCAAAATCCCTAACTTTGCCATTGAAAGAAAATTCTTGTTGGCATCATTTCGAGAGCTTTTGCTATAAAAAAAAACAAAAATTATTATCTTATCAATAAATTTATTCAATCAATTCAAAATAAAAATAGTTAAAGGTGATAATGAAGGAAAATGTTCGATGAATTCAAAGTCAATTATTAAAACGTCGAATCTATGAGAGTTTACTATTAGTTTAAAAAAAAAATTTCACACTCTTTTATTTTCATTTGAATTCAATTGTACGCACGGATGAGTAATACTTAAAAACTAAAAAGCCAGTTTTGTAATCCAAATGAAATTATGATTAGAGGAATCTATCGCCCCATTCTTCTAATTCGCCACTGACCCTTTTAGGACAGGTAAAAGATTATTTCCTCTACCAGCTATGTCTTTTAATATTATCCATGTTTTTCCTTTTTTACCTTTGAAGATATAATATAAGGACCAAAATATTTTTGTCATTTTATCTTTCATTTTTTTATTCAAAAATTATAAATATTTTTGTCAATTCAGTATAATAAATAAATAAACAATTTTACAATTGAATAATTAATTAAAATAAATAATTACGTAAATAAAAAATAAATATTTTTAATTTTTAATTTAATATGAGTATAAATAAATTTAATCTAATAATCATTAAAGACATTATATATGAAAATTATTATATTTAAACTTTAAAAAAAATTGTTATATCCAAATTTTAATTTAATATCTTTAATGATTATTTTTTATTACAATTAATCTCACCATCACTTTTACTTTCACATCTAAATATATATTTTATCATTATAATAATTAATTTTATCTTTACTACTACTTTTAATCTCATCAAAATTAATTTTATCGCTCATTTAAAATGAAATTTTAATTTGATAAAAAAGTAATTTCTCAAAAGTTATTACATAATTGAACCCTATAGCCCACTGCAACAATCATAAGGGAAGTTTTATATTGACAGATAGATAGATAATTAAGGATGCATGTCACCTACAAATACAGCTTTGTGCCTTGGTGGGAATGAATTTGTAATTTGGAGATTGATGTCATTAGTGCTGGATGATGCACTTCTTTAATTGTCCCTGTCTGTGATCACCACTTGCTTGTCTAAATGAACATTACCTTTTCTTTTTCTCTTGTAATGGGCTCCAACTTATTGTTTTTAATTGATGGCACATGTTGAGTAATGGCTTGAAAATGGAAACAATTATAAACAATATCATTTGAATTATAATTTTGAAAAAAATCAATTAATATTACTCTAATTTATTTTTTGTATGATGTATTTTATCATACTTATATTATAATAGATGTAAAAAATACAACAATAAAAAATAACGAACTTATATAATTATAAAAGAAAAACATTACTACAACATTAAATGTTTAAGAATAACAAAACTTTTATTAATTATTAATAAAGTATTAATTACAAAATTTGGGCGGGGGAAGGCTCTGCATACTTATATTCTTACTATAAAAACATAAAATTATTGTACATATATATATTTATAGTTTGATCCATCATGTGTATTAAGAAACAAATGAATACAAAAATATTACAAAATTAAAACAAACGAATAGAAAATTTTTTGAGCAATTTATTGCTAATTTTCTATCATGCTATGTAAATTGATGGAGAAATATATATATTTATAAAATATAACTCAAAATTTTGGTTTCAGGTTTCTTTGAGAAGATGGATACTATCGGATAAACAAAGATATTTTGTTTATTTTCTGAATTTATTGTGAAACCTACATGTGTTTCCGTCTGTCTTTAGCTCCAATGCTCTTTTCTTTTCCTTATCATTCAGACCATTACCCAACAGGTCATTTCAACTCCTAAACCATGTCGCTTTCTCATCGTCAAGGATTTTGTTTTTCTCTATAATGAAACAGTAAATATTCTAATGATGCTGTTTGAAGACCATGGATCAACTATACTTTTTCCCCGCTCAATTTTGAGTCTTTCCATCTTCTATCACACTAGTAGATATTTCTCATTCACTCTTCTTGAAGGATAAAAAATTTTACATACGGAAATGATTCAAGTATAAGTTTCCTAAAATCAAATTCCATGAAAAATGTTCCTAAAAAAACGATCAAATAAAAAACCCAAACTCATAAAATTATATTAAACATGTTTTTTTTTTCTTTTTTTTTTTTTTCTGGGCAAGATAAATACTAATTGAGCTAAACAGATCGATAGACCATAGAAGCAATTAATTATACAGCGGACTTGCCATTGAAGCAGCTGTTTGCACTTGGCAGCTCTATTCGAATTAAGAAGTGAAAACGCTGTACGTCTACATTAAGATTATTAAGAAACTAAATTATACCATCAGTTCATCACTTAGTCACGACTCTCTAGCTAGCTAGCTACCTACCTACCTACCTCACAAAACTCAAGCAAGTCATCTAAATCAACAGAATTCACCACCCCGGAGATCACATCGTGATCAGATGACAACACTTCCATTTGAACCGATGACTCAAACAATGTCAGTTCAGGTGACATAAGATACTCGGATGATAAGGATCGGTTGTAGGTGATGTCGCTCGTCGTATGATCTTCTTTGCTTTCCTGCTTTACTGATGGGAAAGATAAGAAAAAGGGGTTATCATGTTTGCTTGTGAGGTTGTTCGCAAAGCTGAGAAGAATGGAAGAGTCATTGGAGGTGGAATCCAGGATGAGATGAGAAGCCACGGGCAGGTTTTTGCAAGTGTGATGGCCGTAATAAGTTGGTCGATACTTTGGGGGATGGTCTTCAATCTTCTGGACTTGCTTGGTTGCTTGGCAACCTTGATCAACCTTGTGGGTGCATCTGTAATAGTTTCTGCAAGAAAAAATTTCTCTCTCAAGTAGAACTAGTTTAGATTTTCTCACTTGCTAACTTCATGAACGATGAATTGAATCGGCTCAAAAGCGAGGATAAGTATTCATGTCACATCACAAGTACTAGTTTTGGACAATAAAAATTTAGTTTTACCTACCCTAAAAACATTATAAAAACTGTTTTTGATAAGTCACGAAAGGAGTTCTTGTTGCAACCCATATTTAGAAAAGGAAATATAGTAATTTAATCAATTTTCTGAAGTGATCGAAAGTGGCTCTATTTGCTATGATTTTTTTTTTTTTACTATGAATATCTATGGTACAAATGTCCAAAGCAACTTTGTCTCTAATTAACAGAAGAAAAAAAAGGAAAAATCCAACTGATAAGAGAAAAAATCGATCTTGTCTACTCTATCTACCATATGAGAAAAAAGAAAAGACTACCATTTCTTAAGTTCAAGCGTCTTCTTATAGTATTATTTTCGGAAAAGGTTTGAAAAAAAACTAAATTAGATGATGATGATGATGATGATGATGATGATGATGAACAATCTGGATTCATTGTTGGGGAAAAGCAGCCACCTTGGGTGATTGGCATTGACGATTACTTTCTGTCCATATTTTCTCCATGCATGACCATCATCAATTAGAGCAGGGGTGTCTTTTGTCCATGACTCTGCACACTTCCTATCATAAATAAATTCCAATAATTGACTGTTAGCAAGCTCCAAATATTGCGTTAAGAAACTTTGAAGTAATTAATCCACACCCTTAAAGTGATGAAAAACAATTTTAATTATTAACTAATTTTTTGAATTAATAATGATAATTTAGATAAATACAGAAAATGATCTAATTGCACACAGATAAACACAAACATATATATTTAAAAAATTATATACACTACATATAATCACCCATATTTTACACAAAAGATCCAAATTGACCTAACATTCCCATGGTCCATTCTAAGGATCAGGACTCAAATCCTACAACCTTAACTATTAAAAAAAAAATTCAAATCGAACAACCCTAAAATGCAAAAGACTCAAATTAATTAAACACCATTATAGATGCAATCACCTTAACATCTAAGGCAAGGCAAGGTAAAGATGATATCTGTACTTCCTTTAAGAAAATAAAATCCAAAAAGAAATTTTACCCTAGCTGAGAATGGATATATAGTAAACATATAAATATAAATATATAGGAAAGGATGTAGAAAATACGATAATAATGATTAGGTACCTTCTTTTGTAACATCCTCTTCGATCCTTTTGAGTTGAAGTACTCTTAATGCTGTCTTCAGAATCCTCGGATTTCCGACCATCCCAACTCATGTTGATGCTGTTCCTTTGATTCTGGGAAACCTCATCATCGTAGTCGCCACTGTTTCTTAACATCGAAAGGGTATTTCCAAAGGAGTTGAAGATTTTCATTACTAGATCTTCACCCTCGTCTCCTAAAGATTTACTAAGCAGATCTCGCAGCTGATTTGCCAGTTCCCTGCCTCGCCCAAGTTCTTCGATTGCTTTCTTTCTTTCCAAAGACATGTTCTCTGACCAAGCCGACTGCATTTTCCTTTTTTTTTTTTGCCTAGTCAGTTTTAGTTGGATAATATTAAGCGGAAACCTTTATATCCGAACAGAAAAAACCACAGCTACATCGCAAATGCGAGGAAGAGAAAAGGAGCGAAACCAGGAAAATTCCACGCATCGAGGACTCCTGATTATTTTCATCGCCACGCGCAATTTATTCGATCACCTTAAAAATTATGCTCTCGACCAAAGAAAATTATGCTAATTTTATATGTAATGATTCCTTATTTAAAAGTGATGTAATAGAACTAAATTTTATTAATATATTAAATTAATAAAATTTAATATTTTTTATTTAATATATTAATTAAAATTTTAATTTCTCTTAAAATTATATATTTTATATTATAATTTTTTATATTTTTAAATTACTATGTATTGAGACTAATTTAAAAATAATTTATATTTTTGTTTAATTTTTAATATTATATTTAATATATTTTTTGTTTTTATTTTGTTATGATTTTAATATATTAATTTTTTTCCTAATTCAATTTTTTAAAATAATTTTATATAAAATTAATTTATTTATCAATACATATATTCACTAAATTTAATTATATTTTATTATAAAATATTATTTATATTTTATAAATTATTATCATTAATCTATATTAAAATTTTTAAAATTAATAATTATTAACAAAACAAAACAAACTTATTTCAATTTACTATTGATAAAGATCAAAATTTAAAACGGGAAAGCGCGTTGAAAAGAGGTTGGAGGCTTTTACGATTGTTTAATGATGTCAGAAAGTATATGTCATACTTAATCGTCAGCATCAGTGCCACCTAGTTTTCTGCATTTAAGAATTACAAGTTGATTAGGATATATTTTACTTATTAATTTAACTGACTGAGCTTTATTGAGAAGACAATAATAGTCTTCTGAGAGTAGTATTGGAGATGGATCTTTGTGGTGGAGGAGGAAAATAATAGCAGTGTTAGGGGCTATTTTGGTGCTAAAGAGACGACAACAGCTGGGTTGTTTAAATGGTTGATAATTTAAGAAATGTAGTCAGCTCAGTCAGTGTGGATAAGCATGTACTTGGGATTGGTACTGTGCGGTGAGGCCTCATCATCGTTCCAAAAGGACTCTTCGTCATCCTCTTCGTCATCCTCATCCTAAAGGGGGACTCAATTTTAAATATATCCGGTAACGTAAGCGTCCCTGTAACATGCCGGTTTTGGTCCCGTTATTTAAGAAAAAAATTTTAATTATTTTTTAAATCATTTTGAGTAATTTAAATGTAAATTATTTGAATTTAGATTATAAACTTAAAATATTTCAAATTTCAATTTTAAATTTTTATAAAATAAAATTATATTAAATTAGTGTTTTAAATTGTTAAGATTTAATTGGTTTTTTATTTGAGTTAAATCAATTCAAATTGTTGATTTTTTTATTAACATATGATTAAATATAGGCAAATCAGAAAAAAAAAAAAAAGTTGAATTCAAATCAACTTTGCTAGCTAGAATATTGAGGCATGTTTGATAAGCATAATGGACAATATCTCTCTTATGCAAGGGTTATCCTTCCATAGCCCGATTGATATTCAAGTTAGATGAATCAAAACTGTCCAGATTTGGTGCCTTTTTGGCTTTTTTTTTTTTTTTTTTCTTGATACAGAAGTTGAACATTTGGTCGAGAGCAAGTATATCATTTAGACAAATATGGTAAACTTGAAATCATTCATTTTTTTTTCTTAAAACGGTTGAAAATATGATAAGTCGCGGTTTTAAATCCAACTCCTGCAACGGATTTACTCATAAAATATAAGCATTTGATAAATTTTTATATATTATTTCCAAACTAATTGCGGGCAGCCAAAGTACTTGAATGTTAGCTATATAAATAATGGGTTAACCCATGGTTAGCCATTGACAACCTTTTTATGTGTCAAAATACTATGAAAAGAATGAACGCAAACCTTTGCCATGTTCATATTTCTCGTACATTAGGAAGTCGGAGACAGATTAAAGTAGGGATACCAATTAGTAAGCATCACAATTGAGCAACTCGATTTTGTTTTTGTTTGTAACGGACATTACGACAAATCCAACTTCTTGTCCTGCGTGATTAAGGAGCAGAAACTTCATATGATTAATGAAGAAGAAAAAATGATCAAAGAGAAATGATCTTGATTACTCTACTTCTAAGTATATACTTACTATTATTAACAGATAGGTCATTCACGAGCTTCTGCTTCATACATACTGTACTAAAATGCAGCCAGGCGCATCATCAGGTTGAAGCCCTTGACCTTGGCTGAGGCTTAATGGGAGTTGTAAAAGATGATATCAACACCATGTATTTGTTCTCAACACCTCATTCTATTTGCAAAAATAAAAAAGGCAAAAAGATAAAAAAGAGTTGACCTGATTTTACACAGCTATTTTATATATACTGTACAGTTTTCCACTATTTTTTCTATTATTTTTCTTTTAATAGACTCATTCTTTGCTGAATGCTGATAGTCAAACGCCCTAACACACTCTGGTTGGAGTTTTGTTACTCACCAAATCTCAAATTTTCGAGATCCCTCTTTTGGGCAACTTTCCACCATTTCTTTTTTTCTTCCTGACCAAAATCATCCAAATGACATGCTGTATACACCAGGCCACTCTCCTTGGCTTTGACCAACTCTCTTTCCCGTTCTGATTATTATTCTGCTGTGCTGTCATCATGCTTCACAAGCTGGCGCCAAATCAGCTTTTTGCAGCTCATCTGAGGAATGAGAATCACATAACATCAAGAAGACTAAATTTGGTACGCTGTATTAATGCATTTCATCAGAAATTCTGACTTCAAAGCTCAAGCAAATTAAGAAAGAATAAATAGTTGGATGACTTATCCCATATGTATCTCCCTAAATGAGCATTATGAAAATCAGGGTGGAAGGAACCACAGGACATTAATTTCAAAAGTAGTCTGAAGTACTATGTTAATAATATTAGAAATAACTCCATTACAGGCTTGGCAAATGGTAGCCCACTCTGTCCAAGAGTTGACACCCTTCACTCTCAAGTATGGTTACTCCACCAAGCAATAAGTGTTTTTTGTTTGCCCAAAAAATATAAGTACCACAATGACTACAACTTGCTAAGTTATACTTAACGCAAAGAAAGTCCCAAAATGGTAAGGAAAGCATAGTAGCTCACAATGACTACAGCATGTTAAGTTATACTTAATGCAAACAAAGTCCCAGATGGCAAGGAAAGCAAAATGAGGTAAAATATTTTAGAGGCTGCATAAGTACAATTTCCAGCTTGTATTTCGTAAACAATGTAAGCCACAGAAAGAGTAAAACATCATCACTTGCCATAAATTTTGCAAGGAACAGTATTAACATGCTTATATCTATAATTTAAGCTTCCCAAACTATACCAATAATACTTTGACCATGTACATAGGTATCTATAACATCTAAACTAGTAATAAATATTCCCTTGAACCTATTTTAAGTAAAATTCTTAAAGATCTAAAAATCACGCGAATATCACAACCAAGAAAGATTCTTTATGATGTTAGCAAAGGCTATCACCATATTTTGTCCATTTCTAATTTTCAATGTTAAAAAAGTTAGTAATTGTGGGGAAATATTCATAGAGGATGCTTCTGTTATAAATGATTACTAATTTCATTACTAACAGCCTAAGAGGTGTATGAAACTTGAGTAACACAAAAAGATAGCAACATGCACTTAGCATAACTTACAATTGCATGCCATAGGACAGCAATATGATGAATAGACTTCAGAAACCATCTCAAAATAGGGTGTAATGTACATGTTAACTGGAACCTTCATCTGGCTTTGACCTCAAAGTAGAAGGCACTTTTCTTAGTATCTCTGCTTCTCTGGCTATTTGAATATCTGAAGGCCAAAGCATCTGATGTACAACTTTGAAAATAAAGCGGGGAAGTAAAGCAACAATTGTTATAAGCAAAATGGTGAGCCAATAGGTGGGTGACTTTGCCAGATGGTAGATTGTCCTGCCAAATGTAAGAATAATATAAACTCAATCCAATAAAAGTTTAGAATTCGAGACCAAGAAATCATATTTTCTGAGGTGAAACTAACCAGTAATTTGGGAAGATAGGTATACAGTCCAATACCACCATACAGGAATATGTAATAATTATTGATCCCCAAACTGCAGCATGAGTAATGAATACCCAACGCTGAATGTCCATCGCCAAGTTTATATTAATGAGAACAACAACTACTGTTGTCCATAAACTGCCCATGCTCCATATATCAATTGAGCTCTCCTTATATGTAAAGAGAGGTATATAGAACAGAACAAGGCTCTGCCATAGCGTGTCAATCATTGTGATCCAGAAGAGTTGCAGATTATAGGCCTCATGTCCATGCCCCGCACCATAAAGTTTTGGATACTGTAGGAGTGTCCTATGACTTAAGTCCTTGTCGAGAATGCCAACAACAATAGTAGGGACAGATGTATAAATAACAGAATAAAATACACTACTCCAATCTGTTAATGCAGAAGTCGTTGCAAAGGCTGTGAATAATATGTACCTACAACATAGAAAAGGATGTAATGTGAAACCCACATCCATTAAGTACGTAAGTTGCAGAAGAAACAGAGCTTAATATTTCTTGATACTGAAGATACTGCATTGCAATGTGTTTGCCCATGTAAAGAGCCACAGCTTGAAATTGTCCATTACCCAGGTTTAAATTTTGAGGCAGTAAAGAAGAGTGTTTGTCATTAGGAAGCTAATCTTATATTAAACAAATATCATTTTGGATAAAACGGAAACAACCTAGCTAAAAGTTCCTTAAACATCCAACAAGAGTTATAATAAACACATAGAAGCACATGACTATTTCTTAACTGATTATGATGAGAAATTGCAAAAATCAAATGTTTCTCCCATCAAAGCTTGATAAAGAATGACAAACATAAAGAAATTCCAGTATCAAATGCTCTCACACCAAAGAATGGCAGAAGAGCCTAAAGTGTAGAAAAGGATATTCACATAAACTTATGCCAAATTTCCACTTAAAAGTCATTGAACTTCAATTTGTGAAAATAACATCAGCAAACTACAAATTATATTAATTTTTCCATTCCATCAGTTGACATGTACAATTGAGTGATGAAAAAAATGCTGATACAGAGTCAGATAGGCATCCATGTCTGCTTGTAGTGGGGCACATTAACCCACATTTTTCTTCAATTTTTCTTTTTTCCTTTTCCTTCTTTTTCTTTATTATTATTATTATTTTTTTGGCATTACACATGCTTCCTCTCTTAACTCTTTCTGCCTTCTTTACTTTTCCACACACCCACTGCCAATTGCTGCCGACCAATTTACCTCCCTTAATTTTGGGTCAATTTGCAGGTTTTGCAGGTTTTGGGTTTAATGGCAGTCAGAGGTGATAACTACAGAAAAATAAAGAGGGATTTTAGCCTCCTTTTTTCTTTTCTTGAATCTCGATTGTGTTTTTGAATGAATATCAAGGAAATGAAAAGTGACAATGCACTTAGGGGAGAACAAAGGGAAAGAGGCTGGTGAGAATTAATGAGAGAGAGGAATGACCCTGGAAAAGGGAAAAGATAAAGAAACAACAAAATAGAGGAAGTAAAATTGGTAGCTAGGTGGCAGAGTATTTGCCAGCACTGCCAATAGGTGTGAGAAGAAAAAAGGTGGCAGAGAGTAGAAAGAGGGAAAGAACTTAAAAATCTGGAACACAAAAAAGTAAATAAATAAATAAATAAAAAAGAAAAGTATAAAAATCATCCAGTGTGGATGCTGATGTCATTGCAAATTAGCATTCAGTCCCTTGCAATGATCATTGACAAAATGACCAAATTTGAATAAACTTTTTGTTTGCTAACATGATAGTACAATTTGAAAATTGCAAACCTACATGAGAATTTGGTATCAATTATTCAGTGACCTACAGGGAAATTACCTAGGATTTTTGTTTTTTATTTTTTAAAGCAATGCACCCAGAAAACTCAGAAAGCTCAAATTCACAAAAAAAAAAAAAAAAAAGGTACATACCAGAATAGCATCAACACAAAAACAGCATTGCGGTAGAAGTTGTACAGAACTAAGTAACCAACACGCTGATAATTCCAATGACCATGCACCAAAAGTAATCTTTTGAGAAACTGAAACTGGCCCATAGCAAAATCTGATGCCATCACTGCCTGCCGTCCTTCCTGACCACATATTCCAACACCGACATCCGCCATTTGGATCATAGAAACATCATTAGCCCCTGTCAAAATGTCATTATCAGATAAAAGAATGTAGTGAAAAACAACAAGCAGTTGCCCAAGCAAGAGAAGTTTTGTGGGCACATCCAAACACAATTCTTCATAGAGCTCTTTGAAATCAGCATTCAGAAATTACTAATAGCTTAAAACATGTGAACCATAGAAACTAATGAAGCCTCTCTAGAGCAAAGGAAATGCAATCTAAAGACATCTTTCACTTGCAACTGAAAAGGGAATGACCAAAAAGAAAACTTACCATCACCAACAGCTAGTGTCATGTCATCAGTGCAGCTCTTGATAAGATCGACAATTCCAGCTTTCTGCAAGGGTGCAACACGACAACATAGAACTACCCTACAGGAAGTTGCAATGTCGAAAAGCTGTTGAAAGGTGTTAAAAGAGGAAATATAAATATTTAGGAATAAAGAAACAATGAGTAAATTCATATACAAAAGCAAGTCCAAAAATCAATTTAAAGATTGAACCATCTACAAAAAATAAACTACATATACATACTATGAGTAGTTAATCTTACTTAAGAATAAAAATTAATCTTACCTCTGATTCTAAATCCTTCTCCAAAATATAGACCAAACTGTTCCCATCAATTATAAGTGCCAGGGGTGCACGTACAGCTGGTTCTTCCTTTCCAACACACCACTGTAGCACATTGGAAGATTTTGCACCATCAGGTATCTCAAAATATCCATTTTCTGAGTTCTTTTTCTTTTTCACATTTTCCTTTTTCCTGTTTGCTGATTGGACACCATGTCTAATCTTTGCATCAGACAAAAGATTTCTACATTCCTCCTCTGAATTGCCATTTATAATTATTTGCTGCATATCTGCAGTTAGAAGTTTACAAGATAGACCAATAGAAATTGCTCTTTCCTGTTTATCTCCAGTCAGAACCCAGACTTTAATTCCTGCTTGCTGAAGAGCCTCAATGGCTTCTGGTACACCATCTTGTAGCTTATCCTCAATTGCAGTTGCACCAAGCAAATTTAAGTTGCTTTCTACTAGAGCTGCTGTTTGACGTAGTTTTGCAGCTCTGTCAATTAAAGAAGTGCTTGCATCTTCATATCTACATTGCCACTGCTCAAGTTCGGCATCTGTAAGATCCCTTGCAGCAACCACAAGAGTGCGGAGACCTTCTGATGAGTATTCAGTCAAATGACTCTGAGTTGCTTGTCTTATCTGATCATCCCTCTCAGTATCTCCAGCTAAAATGCTAAACATTGTGGTATCGGCACCTTTTACCAACACCTTGACAATGTTGTTTGGAAATCTTATAACAGACATTCTCTTGCGTACACTGTCAAACTCATGCAACCCCAAAACATCCAACCTGCAACATGGAAACAATAGAAGATCTAATAGACTGCATGAAGACAAGAACTAACCAAAAGAAGTACATACCTCAGTTTATTGCCATTGATATCAATCACAATATGACCTGATGTTCGCTCAAAGAGTGTGTATCCATAAGCAGAGGCTGCAGAAACTAGTGCTTGCTCATCAGGAGATTCACCCTGATAATCAATAGCTTCCACATCTTCCAATGATTCACTTCTTCCACGGCAAGAACAAGTATCTTGGGAAACAATTGGGATCACTGTGGGAAAACACTTATTTACAGCTGGTTGTAATCTTGTAATATGTATATTTATATTTGTATCTCTAGAATTAAGTATTTGTATCCCTAGAATTAAGGAAGATTTAGTTTCCTAGTTTAACCCCTAGTTAGTTGTATATAAACCTAAGATTCTTGTATAATTGTAGATAAGCAGTTTTTCAATATACATTCAGTTTCCACATGGTATCAGAGCTTTAGGCTCTTCTTGGGAAGAAAAATTTTCAGCCTTCATTGCTGACTTTTTTAGGCCTTCATTGCCGACTTTTTTAGGCCTTCATTGCCGAATCCTATTTAGGCCTTCATTGCCGAACCCTTTCAAAGAAAGATATCACTATCACCCAATTTGAGGGAATGTTAACTGGGAAAATCACTGGTGTACTACAGATGTCTCAGAAACAAGGAGAGTTCAACAGGGAAGAGATTGAAAAGCTGAGAAACTTATTGAAAATCCTTGAAAAGCCTACTATGGTATGTTCTTTAGGTAAAGCTTCTAGTTCAGGTAAAGCTTCCGGTTCTCATGGATTAAATGTCTCAGCTAAGCTTATTACGAGTTCTTGGGTCATTGACTCAGAAGCCACAGACCACATGACACATTCCCCACAAAAGTTTAGTACATATAACCTGTGTCCTAATAATAAGAAAATTGTTGTTGCTGATGGTTCACTTACCACAGTGGCAGGATTAGGAGATGTTCAAGTTAATCCCTCGTTTGTTCTAAAAAATGTTATTTATGTTCCTAAATTGTCTACTAATCTGATATCTATACAAAAACTTACCAGAGATATGAATTGCAAAGTAACTTTTTATCCCTCTTATTGTGAATTTCAGGATCAGAGTTCGGGGAAGATGATTGGACTTGCTAAGGAGAATGATGGACTATACTATCTTGAGACATCAAATAACACAAGTAGTATCAAAAATAGTTCACCTTTGTCATTTCTTTCTGAAAAATCTTCCAATAAAGACAAAATCTGGCTTTATCATTTTCGTCTTGGACATCCTTCTTTTGGAACCTTGAGAAACATGTTTCCTTCTTTGTTCAAAGAATTAAATGTTGAAGATTTTCATTGTGATATTTGCGAATTTGCAAAACATAGACGTGTGTCTTTTCCAATCAGTAACAAAAGAAGTTCTACTCCTTTTTACTTGATTCATAGTGACATTTGGGGTCCCTCTACAATTTTTAATATTTCTGGTGCGAGATGGTTTGTTTCATTCATAGATGATTGTACTAGGGTCTGTTGGGTTTTTTTACTTAAATCCAAATCAGATGTGAATAGTGTGTTTTTAAGCTTCCAAAATCAATTTGGAGTAAGAATCAAGAGATTTAGGTCTGATAATGCAAAAGACTACTTCAACCAGAGTCTATCCACCTATTTCCAAAAAGAGGGGATTATCCATGAGTCATCTTGTGTTAATACTCCACAGCAGAATGGAGTGGCAGAAAGAAAAACAGTCATTTATTAGCCACAACCAGAGCCTTTCTTTTTCAAGCAAATGTACCTAAATCTTATTGGGGGGAAGCTGTTCTCACTGCCACACACATTATAAATAGGTTACCTTCAAGAGTTTTGGGATTTAAAACTCCTATGGAACTACTCTCACAATTTTATCCCAACCTCAATACCACAAACAATCTCACACCTAGGATATTTGGTTGTACATCATTTGTTCATGTTCACAGTCATAACAGGGAAAAGTTGGATCCAAGAGCGATTAAATGTATTTTTGTGGGGTATTCTTCAACTCAAAAAGGATATAAGTGCTATCATCCTCCTACCAAAAAATTTTATGTGTCTACAGATGTCACTTTTGAAGAAAATAAACCATTTTTTACTCAACCTTATCTTCAGGGGGAGACTTCATTCATGGAAGATAATGATAAAGACTTCTTTTTGCTTGATTTGCCCCCTTCTTCAACATTTACACCCATTAATTCTTATGAGTCGAAACATGTTTCTGCTGAGCCCAAGTCAAACATTGAATTTGAATCTGAACCCATTCCAAATACGAAAGATGTGACAAAGGATAATATTGTTCTTGATTCTATGAAGGAATTACAAGTGTACTCAAGAAGGAAAGTTCCAGATCCTGAACCAGTGCCAGTCCAAGAACCTGATCCTAACTCTGAAAATGAGGTAACTACAGTTTTTAACTCTGTTTCTCAAAATGAGCATGAATCTCCTAAAACTATAACTAGTGATTATGATTTGCCTATTGCCATTAGGAAAGGAACCAGAGAATGTACCAAGCATCCACTACACCCAATATCTAATTTTGTGTCATTTGAAAAATTCTCACCATCCCACAAAAATTTTCTTGTGAGCCTAAACACTATTTCTGTTCCAACTACATTATCCGAGGCATTATCCAGTGAGAAATGGAGGCAAGCCATGAAAATAGAAATGGAGGCCTTAGAGAAAAATCAGACATGGGAACTGGTAGAGTTGCCTAAAGGAAAAAATCCAGTGGGGTGTAAATGAATTTTCACTGTAAAATACAAGGCAGATGGTACTGTTGAAAGGTATAAAGCCAGGTTAGTGGCTAAGGGCTACACTCAGACCTATGGAGTGGATTACCAGGAAACCTTTGCTCCAGTTGCCAAGATTAATACAGTTAGGATTTTGTTATCATTAGCTGCAAATTACAATTGGCAGCTTCAACAATTTGATGTAAAGAATGCTTTTTTACATGGTAATTTGGAAGAAGAAATATATATGAAGGTTCCACCGGGATTTGAAGGTCATCTAGAAGCAAACAAAGTATACAGGTTAAAAAAGGCTTTATATGGCCTTAAACAGTCTCCTAGAGCTTGGTTCGGGAGATTTGCTAAAGTGATGCTAGCAATGGGATATAAACAGAGTCAAGGAGATCACACATTGTTTATCAAGCACTCTGATTCAGGGAGAGTCACAGTTCTATTAGTGTATGTTGATGATATAATTGTAACTGGAGATGATGAAAAAGAGAGAGAATCTCTAAAACAGTGTTTGGCTAGAGAATTTGAGATAAAAGAGCTAGGGAGATTGAAGTACTTCCTAGGAATTGAAGTAGCTCACTCACGGCATGGTATTTTTATCTCACAACAGAAATATGTGATGGATTTTCTGAAAGAAACTGGGAAGCTTGCATGTAAACCTGCAAATACCCCTATAGATCCTAATCATAAAATTGGAGAAGCTAATGAAGATGCTGCTGTAAATAGAGAGATGTACCAAAGATTAGTTGGAAGACTCATTTATCTCTCACATACTAGACCTGATATAGCATATGCTGTGAGTGTGGTAAGTCAATTTATGCATAGTCCTAAAGAAGTGCACCTACAGGCTGTCTACCGTATATTGCACTATTTGAAGGCCAATCCTGGGAGAGGTATCTTATTCAAAAGAGATTCGGGGTTAGTTCTAGAAGCATATACAGATGCTGATAATGCAGGTTCAGTAACTGATAGAAGATCTACCTCAGGCTACTGCACTTTCTTAGGTGGTAGTCTTGTGACTTGGAAGAGTAAAAAATAGAATGTGGTGGCAAGATCAAGTGCTGAAGCAGAGTTCAGAGCAAGGGCTCAAGGAATTTGTGAACTACTATGGTTAAAGATTATCCTAGAAGACTTGAAGATCAAATGGGATGGACCAATGAGACTCTACTGTGATAACAAGTCTGCAATAAGCATTGCACACAATCCTGTGCAACATGACAGAACAAAACACATTGAAGTAGACCGGCATTTCATAAAGGAGAAACTAGACAGTGGGTTGATTTGTACACCTTATGTATCAACCAAGGGTCAACTTGCAGATGTGTTGACTAAAGGTCTCAGCAGTGCAACATTTCAAGAAATTATTTCCAAGCTGGGAATGAAAAACACCTATTCACCAGCTTGAGGGGGAGTGTGGGAAAACACTTATTTACAGCTGGTTGTAATCTTGTAATCTGTATATTTATATTTGTATCTCTAGAATTAAGTATTTGTATCCCTAGAATTAAGGAAGATTTAGTTTCCTAGTTTAACCCCTAGTTAGTTGTATATAAACCTAAGATTCTTGTATAATTGTAGATAAGCAGTTTTTCAATATACATTCAGTTTCCACAATCACAGTATTACATGCAGCCAGGGTAAGGAAAAACTCATGTGCAGCAATTTTTCATCTCCAGCCAAGTCATTATGCAACAAGTCCATAAGCTTAGAATCAACAAAAATTTCAGACTTAAGCTTCCATCTGCTTCTAATAACAGCTGCAGAAAGAGAAAGAATTAATACTGCAGAAATAAGTTACAGATCAATTTCCTCCAATTGCAAAGATCATCCTTGTAAGCAAGATCATCAAACAATATATGTGGGATCAACTAGCTTCTTAGCAACGTAATAGCATTACAGGATAATGCATAAAAAGGGAATTGTTCATAGACACTGAGCTCCATTATCTATGAATATGAGGCTGGTGCAACAGCATAGACATACCAGTCAACCTGATCAAGGACAAAGTCATACCTCTCTAACAAACTAATCAATCATTGCATAACATTTGAGAATGTCTCCCTACCTGAAGGATTCAGGAAAATTAAAAAAAAAAAGAAAAAAGAAAAAGAGAGAGAGAGAGACCAAAAAGAAATTTAAGTAGTCTATCAAATCAAGAATTCAACAGAAAAACGTGAGAAAGATTTTGTTGATAACTCCACTCAAGTTATCAATTCAACAATCAAAGCAAGAACGAATAGCCAAAGAGAATTTTAAAAGTTTATCCAAAAAAGAGCTGATTCAATACTGGACATCCATGGATAATAAAGAACCTGAAATTATCAATAATAAAAACAAAAAATAAAAAGGAAAGCATAAAGGAGAGCTAACAAGTACTGACCAACACTCTAAATTACAAAATTATAGTATGTAGCAAAAGAAATTATCAAATGGCAGAGGGATTAACATTTTATACCTCTGGTGTTATGATCCTGTATTGAGTCGTATGTAAGATCAGAGCTCTCATAATTTTTACCATAGACACTTGCTTTTCGGAATTCCATTTTGTTTTCAGTAAGTGTCCCTGTTTTGTCTGAAAAGATATATTGTACTTGACCCAAGTCGTCATTTATGTTCAATGATCTGCACTGAAACCTTGAGCCAGAGCTGCTGTCATACATGTGCTTATCTTCGATCATAAAATAAGACTGTCCCAAGCGAACCAACTCCATTGTAATATAAAGAGAGATTGGTATCATTATCTGAAAGACAATAATAGAACTTAAAAAAGAGATAAAAGTTTCCATAGGGATCCCATAATATCTGTATGTTTTTAAATCCTCCTTTCCTTTTGATAGGTATCTTTTTCTGTAATAAGGCAAGGTATCAAGCTCTTCCTCATGACGATGAAGCCACAGACCCATCCCAAGGGCAACAACAGAACACATGATAAAAAGGAAAATAGACAACCATAATGTTTCCCTGTTCATGTAGCTTTCCAATCTGCTTCGCTTTGAAGGGGATACTGCACTGTTTAGCATTGCTTTTGTTTCCTGCCCGGCATAAACCACCACGCCTATTATCCAATCAGTGTTCTTCAGCTGACAACCGCGCAAAACAATGTTTGATTGGCTGAGGGGAAATTTTTGTCCATTGAACTCCATGTTGGCTGTGAAGTCATAAACATTCCTGTTAGGCTGCTCACATCTGATCAGTCCCGATACATTAAAACCTTCCAATACTGAAGCTGTTGTTTCCTGCCTAGCATATCTTGTCTTCAGGTTGGATTCACCATCCAAATTCATGGTCTGGATGTAGGCAAGTCCACGAGGGTCACTTGTCCCTAACAAAACCAGGTCACAAGGAATTGTCTAGTCAGCATGGATCTTGACAACTTCCCCGGCTCTTATCTTTTTCCATTTCTTCATTTGGAACTCCCCCAAATGGAGAACTAGTGCCTCTCGGTTGTTCTCATTCCGGTCTGACCTGTGTCTTCGCCAATCCTCATAACCATTTTTAATTGCTGTGACACAAAGCACAAACAAGAGTGGGAAAAGAGACACGGTTCTCCCAAAGACTGCTAGAGGTGGAAGTTGATTAAGTGCTGCAATAGCCAGGAAATACAAATAGGCCACTCGGTGAAACTGAATGAAAAGATTCTTAGGCAAGAAAGTGATGAGTGTGTACTTGCTTGTCCGAATCTCATTCCCAGTGAACTCGTACTTGTCATTCGTTTTCCTTTGATTATTAATGTAGATCAACCTTGAATTTTCTGTATATAACAGATTATCATCAAAATCCACGCTCTTGTTGTGAACTCTCCAGAGCTTACTCAACTTATCTTGCACCACAGATGAACCCCTAGAAATATCAAAGCTTGTACAAGTGTTACTATCGCTACGCAGCTCCATGGAACCCCACAATACCCGGCTTCCCCGATCCTTCGTGGGGCATTCCAATGAGTGCTGCTGAGAGGAACGAGAGTCAGCAGAATACAAATGTTTTGAGGTGACAACAGAAAGGGAACGTGCAAGAGAGGTAAGAGGTTTCAAAGGAGAACGGTTAGCTCCAGCAGAGACAGCAGTTTCTTCCTGTTCCTCTTGTTGTTGGTCTTTTAACTCAAAAAAGTTGGTCTGAGTCTCCTCGTACGTGGAAGAACAGAAAGGCACATTGTGGCAGAGGTAGCGAGAGGAGGGCACGTTGCGACTAGGAGTACCACGGCGATGCACCACCACAGAGGAAGACTCAGATGAAGGCAGTAGAGGGTGCCCTGAAATCATAAATTCTCCAATGTCACCGTATTAGTATTATAATATACTAGTACTAGTATAAGGCAACTAACTCTGCCTTGTTTTATCTATGTTCCCGTCCCCGGCGAAATCAAACAACAAGCAAGGTGAATTTGTACCAAAATTCTCATGTTTCCACTTTGCTAATTACTCTTCGATTCAGACATAAACACAATGCTGCTTAAAAAACAAATGAAGAGAAGACAAAGACGGCAATCGTCGATTCAATTAGAGGCAGCACATTCAAAACAGGCCCCAGAAAATCTATAATGTCACTAAATCAATGAGAAAAGGAAAAGGAATAGCTCTGTCGACGAAATTGAATGGAACGTTGATAGATCTCAGATAGAAACAACTCAACTCAGCTCCCACGCATCCCCTCTATTCAATATAATGCCAAAAACACACACTGACAAAACAAAAATAACAAAAAAATGATACTACTTGTAGCATTTATCACTAACACAGCCCTGAAAACCCTAGTTCTCAATTTAAAGAAAAAATTAAAAAATGGAAGATAGAGGGTTATCATCTCGGGAAATGAGCAAGGCACGAATCAATGCACTGGAAACGAAATCATAGCGAAATGGCCGGCAAAGAAAAAAAATGAAGAAAAAAGAAAAGAGATGTAAAAACCTGAGAGAAGAAGAGTAGGATCGTTTGAGAGAGATGCGGAGAAGTTTTGTTTTGTTAGGAAGGGCAGGAAATGCGAGGAAATCGGAAGGGAGACGGATGATATAGCACCAATATTGGCTTTGGGAGTCTCTTTTTCTTTTTAGTTCTTGCCCAAATGCAAATGGCAGATGAAAATCATGGATGCTGCCTCTCTCGTTCTACCACCAATCGCATTGTAACTATAATAACAAGATCATCGTTTCATTTTTTTTTCTTTTATTATTATTTATTTATTTATTTATATAGCACCAATATTGGCTTTGGGAGTCTTTTTTTTTTTTTTTTTTTTTCTTTTTAGTTTTTGCCCAAATGCAAATGGCAGATGCAGATCATGGATGCTGCCTCCTCTCGTTCTTCTACCACCAATCACATTGTATAACAAGATCCTCGTTTCTTTTTATTATTTTTTTTTCTATTATTATTATTATTTATTTATTTGCCTTTAGGAACTATACTCATTTACTAAATCGAGAGTTCTAAACACATTGCTAAATCTCCACTTTACATCTCAATCTTTTTCTTTAAAAAAATAATCATATATAAAATATCAATTTTGTTTTTTTAAAATTATAATTTTACCCTCCTTACACCTTATTTATGTACCTTTCTCTTCTTCTTTCTATTTTTTCTTCTTTTTTTTTTTTTCTTCTTTCTTTCTTAGATCTTAGACCCTAAATTTTTAAAACTAATATCAAATTTTTGAAATCTTTGTTAAATCTTGTAAATAGTTTAAAAATTGATAAAGAAATGAAAAATAATAATGGTGGAAATGAGCTCGACAAGATAATGATATCTTAACCCAGTTGAACTTCTAATTTTTATGTTTACATAAATCCATTTGAAAAATAAATTTTTAAAAATTGTGTTGTGTTTTCAAAAATAGATTTTCAAAAATTATGCTGTATTTTAGAAAATCCCTATATTCTTTGAAATTCATTTTCGAAAATAAATCATAATTTTTTGTAAACTATATATTTCTTCTAATTATAATTTTTTTAACTTATTGTAATGTGTAGATTAATTTGAAAATTGCACTGATAGAGTGGGATAAGTCATTAGAAAATTTAGATATTAGATATGATTATACATATTCATTTACTACGGAAGATGTTAGATTATGTTTTTGAGGTTTAGGATTATGGAAGGCATAAAATGTTAGTTTGTATAGACGTAATAAGTTAAATATATTGTACATTTGTTTTATAGTAGAGAAGTTTTGGTTTCATGGGCTAGCAGGTTAGAAAAGCTCAAGGTTTTGTGATTGTGATAAAAAAAAACTTTGAGATGGGAGGCTCGAGGAAACCTAAAATAAAATTGGCATGTAAACAAAGTGACAAATACAGACAACAAAAGAATAAGGGCAATGTAAAAGAAATACAATGTAAAAGAACAAGAATAAAAAAGTGTGGTTGCTTGTTTAAGTTATATGAGATTAAGTTGGCAATGAATGATGAGTGAAAAGTGAAAGTAGTATATGGATTTCACAATCATCTACCAATAAAACAATTAGAGGGATATTCATTTGCAAGCCGATTAATTAAAAAAGAAAAGAAATAGTTGTTAATATGTCAAACAGTATAGTCAGACCTAAAAACATACTGTTGACCATAAAATAACATGATAAAAAGAATGTCAGCACTATAAAGATAATATACAATGAACATCAAAGATACAAATATGTTGAGAAAGCTAGTAGATCACAAATGCAACAACTCATAAAAAAGTTGATTGATTGTAAATACCTAGTAATTTTTGTTTTATGATGTTGTAACATAGCCTTTCTTCTTATTCTTGCTCTGTTTTTTTTCCCAAACTCAAAATAAAATTATTTCTTAGAATAAAAGTGATCACCATGTTTCTTGTTTTATTTAAAATAAAAAAGATATATAAAATATGTATTAAGAATTTTTTTTTTTAACTATGTAAAAGACTTATCCTAGGCTCATTCCACTATGACAGAGTTATTGCAAGCCTTCCCAAATATCCTGATTATAAATTGCATTTAAAAAACAAACAGATACCTTATGCCATTACTTGAAATTATTGGTGTGATTTCCATAGAGATGATATTTTTTGTTGCCTTTGTATGCATGGAAGCCGAGCCTTTTGAGAATTACATTTAGACACTGAATAAATTAAAAAATTTGATGCCTACTGGTAAATTTTTTACTATTATTGTTATTGATAGAGAATTGACACTGCTGAATGCTATAAAGGTAGTATTTCCTAGCACGATCAATCTTCTGTGTAGATTGTATACCTAAAAAAATATGCTAGCAAATTATAAGAATTTGTTTTAGCAGAAAGAGAATGGAAAGGATTCATGTCTAGTTGGAGTGTACTTATAGACATCTAAACTTATTAGAAATTGATTACAAACTTATCGAGATGCAAAAAAGTATGTGAAAAATCAGTGGCTGATAAAGTATAAAGACAAATTTATTGTTGTTTGGACGGATAAAGTATGCACTTTGACAATGTTACAATAAATAGGTATGATTTATATTACATTGTTATGATTATTTATTATTTTTAAGGTTTTATAACAAATTATTAATATACCTTTATTAACTCGTTTAGGGTCGAGAGTGCACATGCGAAATTAAAGAAATACTTTAGATCATCTCAAGGAGATTTTGAATCATCATGAAAGATAATTAACGCACTTATTGAGCTTTGACATACAGAGATTAAGGTTTCATTTGAGCAAAGTCTTATGGTTTTCGAGCGTGATTTCAAGCTTTATTATTTAAAGAGTTACGAGATTTGTATCTAGAAGCATACTAAATATGATATTGATAGAGATCAAGCAAGTTAATCATATTAGGATTAATGCAAATACTTGTAGTTGAGTGATCAATAGCATATATGGGTTACCTTGTGTTCATGAAATTACAAAGCATATAAGGCTAGAAAGTTCAATTTCTTTATGTGAAGTGTTTTCACATTGGAAGAAGTTGGATTTAATAAAGAGCCAAGATAATAAAATATCTAAAGAGTTGACCATTTAGTTTGAAGTTGATCAAATCATAAAATGTTTCAATGAATGTGATGAGTTTGATAAATTGGCCATGAAAAAATGTTGCAAGAACTTGATGATCCATCAACAACTACCTTGATTCCACCATTAAAGATGGTTAAGCCAAAAGGTCGTAAAGTTATAAAAGCAACTATTTCTACATGACGCGACCTATCACACTAAAAAATTGTGTTATCAGTTTAGGATAGTACATCACCACCAACCATTGTCAATTCAATAAAACTAAAGACGTAGATAGCTAAACTTTCTATTCATCATCCTTATGGTAAATAGAAAACATGATATTTAGATAGTTTAGCAGTGAAGTTACATCCGTATGTACAGAGTATCATTGATGTTAAGTTGAATGGATATTGTAATTTTTGTTATATTGCTAGGTTGCTTGGGTTGTGATTAGATGACTGGGTGAATGAGTGACAAGATTTAATTAAAAACCTTAATCAGTTTCGAGGCTATTTATGTGACTTTGTATAGATCCATAGAGAGTATTAAGAAATTGTTACAAACTTTATCGTATTTTGACACTTCTGCCTCATACGATAAGTAGACAATCTTACTTGATATGAGTCATTTGATTACCTTACGATATAATGTTGTTCTAGTTAACATTAGTTTGAGATAATGTCTGACATATCTTTCTATTAGATATGTACCACCTGCACCATTAGAGTATGAAATAATTACGATTAGATTGGTTAATGATTGTTATTTTATGCAAATACTGTTAATTAGTGTTGTCATTTACTATTTATATTTATCGTTCCTATTTTATGCAAGTGTTAATAACATTATATAAATAATATTCCTATTTTATATAGGTGCTAATGAAACCATTCTCACTAATACCTTCTATTGCATGCAACTGGCATAGAATTCAATATAATTGTGTTCAAGAGTGGGATATTCAATATGTACCCTGCATTGAAGACAAGTTATTATTTAGTTCAAATTATGATATCGCCATTCAAGAAACAATACCTATTGATTGATTTTTTTTGTAATACTTGTTTATCAGATTAATGTATATATTTACAGTTTATATTAATGTTTAAGGTTTATATATTGAACATATTATGTAATGGACAATTGTTATATTGAACATGTTATCTAATGGGATTGTCATATTGAATAGGCAATCTAATGGATATTTTATAAATATAATGACTATAATGGATGTTTATAAACAAACTAAACTAAATAAAAATATTATGACAAAAAAAGTATTATTACATAATATCAATACATCAATCCTTATCCCTCGACCTCTTGATTCGAAGACCTAAACGCGATGGACGAGTGGACTTTGCTGTCTGTGTGAAACTCTCTGGCAAGGTTAAAACTATTATCTTTATAAGGGGAGAGCTTACAAACAAGATGCTATGGTTACTACTACTAGTGGTGGGGACTAGGGCTGTAAACGAGCCGAGCCGAATAGTGAGAAGCTCGAGCTCAACTCACAACTCGAGGCTCGATACTCGGCTCGAGCTCGATCGAGTTTTATTTTTCAAGCTCGAGCTCGATTCGTGATCGAATTCGAGCTACTCGAGCTCGCTCGATTAAACTCGATTAATATGTAAAAATAAGCTCGATTCGTATACTCGACAAGAGTTCGATTATTCATGCTCGAACTCGAACTCGAACTCGGACTTGAAATATTTTATTAATTAAAATAATAAAAATATATTTAAATATAAAAGCTTGATTAGGCTCGCGAGCTACTCGAGTCAGATATAAGAATACTCAAATTCGACTCGATCGATAAGTTGAGCTACTGAGCTCTAGCTCGACTTGACAATAATCGAATCGAATTTGAGTTTTTTTTGAATCGAACCCGAGTAGCTTACGAGTACTAATGTATCATTTACACCTCTAGTGGGGACGGTGAGGGCACGAGCAGGTTGGGATGAGTCAATGTCGATGGGACTAGGGATAGAGTAAGTACGAGTAGACATAAAAGTGTCAATGTTGATAGGATTGGGAATGGAGTAGGCATTAATGGCCTGGATGGTCTAAGTGGTCTGAATGCATGAAATGATGGTATAAAAGTCGATGTCTAATGCAATACTACTAGTCTAGACTAACTGTTACTATTTGCTGTAGTTGATGACCCAAATAATAAAACATGTGCTCTGATAACTACATCTCTTTATATATTAACACTCTACTTTAATCCACCAGATGATGCATACTCAATAATAGATAAAACGGTTGAACTCCAC